AAAAAAAAAAAAAAAAGAAAGAAAGAAAGAAGGAAACTGTCGTCTCTGTACCTCAGCTTCAAAATTTCCAAGTAGAAGTAATAGTAAGCCTCCTCCTCGAGTTCTTGTGAGAGTTAGATTACTTAGTGCCTGAAAGCACTTTGAACAATGCCTGACGGTAATTGCTCCATAAATGCTAGAGGTTGTTGAGCAGTTTCTTTTTGTCAGCATTGTGCTACAGGCATGGGAAAGGGAAAGGACTGTTTTTAACTCTTTCTTTGTCGTTTATAATGAGAAAGGTATTGTAACCATTAATAGATAAACTGAAGCTCTGAGAGGTTCCTTCACTGGGTCACCCAGGAAATAAGAGAAAGCCCACAGTGAAATTTCTCATCCTCTTAGAAACTACCTGTATTACCTCCCACCTCAATATTTCTAAATACATAGCTCTACTGTAACTCTTTGAGCATTGAATTCAAATTATTATTTATTCTGCAGGACTGTGAATGCCCAGAAGGCTGGGACAGTGTCTCATTCATTTCTATTTCCTCAGTGCCTGATGCACATTAGGAGTTTGATAACTATTTATGAAGTGAAATAAGTGGAGTCAAGTATAATAGAAGCATTTATTGAGGATCTGAAACTTTTAAAAATACTTCACATTAATTCTTAATAAATACAGGTCGGTGGAGTAGGAACTGTTAGCCTGGTTTTATAAATAATATTAAGTCACTTGCCCAAGATTTTGCTAGTAAGTGGCATAGCTGAAGTTTTAATTCAGGTGGGTAACTCGCAAAGCATGTACTCTCACCTAGTATTTAATAACAATAATAATACCTAACTTTTGCATTGTGCTTTACAATGTATAATCAACATTTCATGCAATGATAAGCAGAGGAGGAGTTACCAACTGAGCTAAATATGGATTCCAGATTGGAAACTGAGATTACAATACAGGTAGTCTTTGCTTTGCATAGAAATGCAAGATTAAAAGTGACCATGCAAGCTGAAATCACGTACAAGGACTTACTAATCAATTGGGGGGGGGGAAATAACAATTGTTCCATGACCTTTAAAAATTATTGACTATCAAAAACCCTGTCTGATGGGGGGAGCGTGGTGGCTTAACACCTGCAATCCTAGCACTCTGGGAGGCTGAGGTTGGTGGATTGCCTGAGCTCACGGGTTCTAGACCAGCCGGAGCAAGGGTGAAACCTTGTCTCAAAACATAGCCTGGAGTTGTTGGGGACGCCTGTAGTTCAAGCTACTCAAGGGACTGAGGCAAAAGAATCACTTGAGCCAAAGAGTTGGAGGTTACTGTGAGTTATGACCCCACAGTACTCTACCAAGGATGACAAAATAAGACTCTGTCTCAAAAAAAAACAAAAACAAAACTCTTGTCAGATGACTAGGTGCCGGTAGCACAGTGGTTACAGCACCACCTACATGCCCTGAGTCTGGCTAGTTCAAACCTGGCTGGCCCGGGCCAGCTAAACAACAATAACTGCAACAAAAAAATAGCTGGGCGTTGTGGCAGGCACTTGTAGTCCCAGCTCCAGCTACTTGGGAGGCTGAGGCAAGAGAATCGCTTAAGCCCAAGAGTCTGAGATTGTTGTGACATAGTGAGACTCTGTCTCAAAAAAAAAAGAAAAGTGACAAAAGTATGTAATTTAAAGAAAAAGAAAAAACTCTTGTCAGTTACAAATGGATAGGAATGAAAAAATTGTAGTAAAGCTAATATTTATTTGGTACACTGTAATTTTAAATTACATTTACTTTTAATTAATATAATTAATGTTTTTAAGATTTTAAAATTTAAACTTAAATTTTTGAAATTAAGCAATTTTGATAGAAAATTAGAAACATAAAGAATTGTTTTATTTCTTTGGAGAAAACTTACCAGGAGGCTCGGCGCCTGTGGCTCAAGTGGCTAAGGTGCCAGCCACATACACCTAAGGTGGC